GGAAAAACCTTACCAGTGTCGAGTGTGCAACAAGAATTTTACTCAGTCATGTAATTTGAAGATTCATGAAAGAGTTCATGCTGGAGAAAAGCTTTACCCATGTAGCATTTGTGCAAAGAAATTTTCTACTTCGAGCAATTTGAGAAGGCACGAAAATGCTCACAGAAAGTAAGAACCATATCAGTGTGGCGTGAGTAACCCACGTGTTTTATCAAGCAGTCTCACGGATACAGGCAAAACGATATGAGAAATATTAGATTTGGCTGGATTACAACTATGCAGACTTGTCATTCTGTGTTAGTATATTTGTACTGTAACTACTTATATCATTTTTAGTTTAAGCATAAACGAGTTGACATTTTAAAAGTTATCCACTTACTTTACCAACGATATTTAATCCAAAAAATGATCTAGAAGAAAATATGGGTACACTTACACAGACACGAGTAGTGGGTTGCAGTTATTGTTTATAAATTGTGTGGGAGGTTGTTCTGATCTATCTGATTAAATCACATTTTACTCAAAACAAATATTGGAATGTATTCAGATATGTGATAGTGAAAACTGGGTCATATGTTTGAAAGAGAAAGTTTCTTTTTATGAAAAAACGGCCGATCAAAAACAGAAGTTGGAGAAAGATTCTGTTTTTAGAGCATGACTTACATTACAGACGTTATTTGGGAAAGGCAAAGGTTACAAAAGATTGGGACGTTGGATATATTTCAATGAAAAGCAGGTTGTAGATTACTTTCCGCAGTAAAAGCAGTTAATTTGGATGGAAATCATTGTTGAGCACATATTGTCCAGATTATTATTTTAAAAAATTGTTTCAATTTACTCATTTTTACAAAATTAGTGCAATTATATGCAATGATTTACGGATAATAAACGTAAATACTAAAATACTGTCGTCTTGGAGTGTCGCATTCGAAAACAGTTTAAAAAAATATTGATAAGTTTGCTGAAGATATTTTTTTGAGCGAAATGCAAGCTGTTCAAAAGGATCAGCTAATTTATTTGGGAAAAGTACTGAATTACTCGAAGAGGAAATGAGATTAACAAGCATAGCTTTCATTTAAAATTCAATCATTAAAATCCACTTTAACACAAAATATGTATAAAAAATATATTTTTTGTACCATAAAATTGTTGAGTTCAATATTTGACAAAATATCGTGACAAAAGTATTGTTTAAGAATGATTCTTTTCATAAAACTTTCTCTCAATATTGCTATTATATGATTAAGTTTGGGTTATTGAGTACACTACACTTTTGAATTAGCGCTTTCATGTGCAGGTTTTGGAATTGTGCCAAAATTTTTTATTTGTTAACACATTTCTTGCTTCATAATCCTAATTTATTTAAAACAGGAATCAGTTGTTTCGATGGCATTTTCTGCTTTCGGTCTTCTTTCCTCTTTTTTAATATTTATTCCGTTGGTGGGAATAATTTATTTTATTTGATGTGTTGATGTATTGAAATATGTTTGAAAATATACTCATCATTTCGCGTATTTTATTTTCATCGCATATATGCAACATTGTTTTGGCAGGCATTTGCGTGAGGCGAAAGTATACGAAAGCATAATTTAATCACTGTAATGTTTGGAAAATCGCCATTCGGTTCAACTGGCACGTCTGCTTTTGGCAGTAAGTTATTTCGTGTTTTACTTCATTGGATTTACTGTTAAAAATATTTTTTTGATTTAATTTCAATGTCCAAATAGATTAAAATCCATGTTTTAAATTTTACTTACACACTTTTTGAATTGTAATAAAAATTTTCTGTTCATGTAGCATTTTAGTTATTTTTTTTCTATCGATTTGTTGATAACATGCAGCAAAAATTGCTCGTAATTGCATTTAATTTTGTATCCAAATATGAATTATTATCATCTTTTGAAAGGAATTTGCACATTGTATTTCTTCTTACTACATTGTTTTGTTGGTTTTCATTCTTACAGGCAGCTCATTGTTTGGTTCATCATCAAATCGACCATTAACGGGTTTTGGAACTCAGACTGGTTCACAGTCTTCTAGTTTATTTGGACAAAAGTCTATTTTTGGTTCATCTGGACAAACATCTTCACTATTTGGTTTTGTTGTCTTACTTAATTTGAATAAGTTTGTTATGCTTTGGAAAGTAAATTCTGTTTGTTTATGAAATTGTTATAGAGCAATTGCAGGAAGTTCACAGCCTGCTTCAACTGCATCCACATCGCTATTTGGTCAGTCGAAACCACTTTTTGGATCATCAACAACACAACCTACAGGCTTCAGTGGTACCACTTCATTATTTGGTTCAAATCAGTCGACTTTACAAACTGGGAGCGGTGTCTTCGGATCAGGTTTTGGAAGTATGGGAATCGCTTTCTATTGCTTTCTTTTTTGTGACATAAAAACATTTGCATTGTCTTAATATCAGCGGAAAGAGCATAGTTTACTTCAGAATCACAAATTTTTTTTAAACTAATTTTTAGCCCCGGCCATATCTGGTACCACTATCAAGTTCGAGCCTCCAACCTCTACTGACACAATGATCCGTAATGGTACAAATCAGACTATCAGTACGAAGCATATTTGTATCACTGCTATGAAGCAATACGAAAACAAAAGTTTAGAGGTGAGTTTACTTGATTTTCGATCGATATATTTGTTTCACCGAAAACTTCCCATGTAGCATGGTCAGTGTACATCGTGTTTTGGAAGCACTCAGTTTTATGTTATGATATGTTGTTTGTTAACTGCAACAATATAATTAAAGCGAAGAAAATTCCCTTGTTAAATATTTTGATTTCTTATTCCTGTAGGAACTAAGGTGTGATGACTACTTAGCAAATAGAAAAGGCCCTCAAAACAGTGGTTTGGTATTTGGTCAAGGGACTCAATCATCTTCTTTATTTGGGTCCACTCCAAATACAACTCAGTCATCAATATTTGGTCAAAATAAACCGCTCTTTGGAGGTGAGTATTCTCATTAAAGTAGAATGGAAACAAATTATCACCATTATAGTACTAATTTTCCAATCATTCATTTAAGCTTTTAAACGTGTGCCAGAAGTCTATCGATTTAGTCATTTTTTTGAAAACAAATTTAGAATTTTTGGCAAAAAATGAATCGAAATGTGTTTTTTCATGAATTTTCAGCCTCTACCGGTTTTGGGACTGCTACAACTACTTCATCTTCATTGTTTGGAACACCTGCAACAAACTCATCAATTTTTGGTAATAAATCAACTACTGGAGGGCTCTTTGGAACTTCGAATGTCGCTTCTTCATTCGGACAACCTCAGCCTACCACCGGATTATTTGGTGCCAAACCGGTGACGGTAATAATCTTACTTTTCATTGTTTAGTTTTTTTGTTTTTCACTTTTTGTCCATCACTTATAAAAATTTCAATATCTTTCGTCTGTATTATCGATTCATTCTATTTATTCATCTTGATTCAAGGCTTTACTGAAGTCAGTACCGTGCCGTTACTAACTTCGCATACGTAGTTAATTTTTATTATTTAGAAGTTTTCTAGTTTTTCTTCACATATTTGGCCTATATCTAAGAAAATTATGATCTGCTTTTATATAGGGCTATCATGTATTCACAAAATTTTTTTTCATCATTTTTGTCTATTCTCAAATTTGCAGAAATTAGTTGATTATTTCATAGTTTTATTTATTGTTTTCAGAATTTTGGGACCCCAACATCATCTCTTTTTGGTGGGTCAGCATTTGGTACTGCTACAACCTCATCAAATCCATTTACATTCGGCAGTGTTGCGGTAATAAAATTCATCTTTTACTTTTCCTCTCATTAATAGCTTTAGCATTTGAATGGTCTGCTTTTATTCTGAATGTTACTTCTATTTTCGGCTTTAACTACTTTAGTTCGAAACCATCTATTTATTCTTCACTTTGAATCAGTTAATATTTATCAAAAATTTCATTGCATTTCAGCAGTCTGCGACGTCTGTAGCTTCAACTGGTCTTTTTGGGACTAAGCCTGCTACGTCTGGTTTTAGTGGTTTTGGTATGTCCACCTCCCTGGCTTCTGGTATATCTTTGAGAATCAATTTTGAAGTATCAAAAAACTTTAATAAAGTTAAGAATTGTGTAATTGAATCTTTTTTATCATCAATTTTTCCTTAATTTCGAAGAAATTATTTCAGGAACGCAACCTGCTAGTGGACTTTTTGGTTCCAAACCAGCAAGTGGTGGATTGTTTGGTTCAGGTATTAATGAATTAATAATAAAATATTAAGACTAAACGTACTGAATTAAAAAAAAATTATCAAGTAGTATTTTCTACCGCCAAGTATGTTGGGACCTTGAATTTTACTATTTAGGAAGTCTATTTGGCCAAACTGCTCCTTCATCAACACCTTCTTTATTTGGTGCAACTACAACAAAACCCGCAAATACTTTATTTGGTTCAAGTGCACCACAAACTAGTAAGGCTTAGAGAGCTGGAATTTTTTATTTCGAAACAGTATTGTATAGTAACTGTAACGGAATAACCTATTTGTTTTCTAGCCTTCGGTCCAGCGCAACAGTCCGCAGTCAGTAGTGTTGCATCTGTAGCACCCATTGTTTTGGGTGCTAATTTCAGTCAGTGGCAAATTGAGAAAGCAGTAATAGATGCACAGTTAGAATCTAGTCCATATGGTGATAGTCCCTTGTTAAAAATTTTAACTACCGAATCAAAGGAGCAATCAAATATTCCAAATCCAGTCAGGTTAGCATTAAATGTTTCTCAGCGTTAGCTTTTCTTGTAATTAGTACAAACCTTGGCAAGTCTTTATTTTAATCAACAAATATAATATTAGATTGTTTTATTGATTTAAATCAAGATGAGTTAATTAACGATCTGTTTTGTATCTTTTCTCAATTTTCTCGGTTCGTTATTCTGTGGAAGAAGTTTTTAAATTCTCAAAAATTTTTCGGTATTGGTTACGACATTTTAAAGCCAAATTTTCATCATTGTAATTCTTGTAGTGTTGAGAGACAAATGCGATTTTTGGCATCAAAAAAAGAGTTCGCAATAACAACAACAACGCCCAGCGGACCATTTTCACTGGGGTCTATACCTGCGGTGGCTTCACGCATTAGGTCATCATCTAAATCACGAGACAGTATTGGGGACTTTACCTATCATTCCATGTTTCTACCACCTGCTCTAAGTAATTGTAAAAAAAATGCATCGTTGAATCTTGATTCTGGTAATAATCGGTAAGTATTTGAGCCTTTTAATCCTCTGCAGTTTAGCTTTTTGCTCTAATCAAGATGCTTTGATATGGAAATCATTTTTTTTGAGTAAATTGAATTATTTTTTTCAAATTGTTGTACCTCTTTGTTATGGTCACATTAACAGTTCATAAACTTTTAGTTAGATGGTTTGCAGGTCAGGTGAAACTATTCCATCTTCTGTAGACCCTTCAAACTTTCTCGGAGTGGGCAGTAGTCCATCTCCTGCATCAAAATCTAATGCAGGTGTGAAGCGACTTGATCTAAATGTTCTTCATAAGTGCATGGTAAAGTTTCATTTACCACTTTTATAAGAATATGTAACTTCTTGAAATCATTTCAGTTCTCTATAGTTTGTGCAGTATAATTGAGTTCTCATTTTTCTTTTTTTAAAATTTAAAAATAGATGTGAAGTAAATTGATAACCATGTCTAGCAAGAAAGTCGGAAAAATTCTACTCCTTCTACATGTCCACCAACAACAGCAAGCGGAGGTAATGACGCAGCTGATCATGTGTTGGAGAAGGCAGATGCAAACGCTGAAATTGTGAGTTTTTTATTTCTCATGTGTGTTGGAAGTAAGGTTTATATATATATATGTAACTTGAATACTAAGTTATTTTTAGCAATCGACTGCTATCGAAAAAACACCAAACAAACAAAAAAGTGTTTCATTTCTCTTACCTCCTGGAGACAAGTCTGCAGCTAATGATCCCGTAGATAACATGCAAATGTCCACTAATCCTGAAACAGTATTACCGGTAAGCGTTCAATGTAATAGTGCACTTCAACATATAGTTGTCAACATGATCAGTTTCGTTCGATCACTTTGATGTATTCTTTTTAGTATTTTGTATTAAATATCTCTCTAAATATGTCGTGGGCACCCTTATAATACCTCTTGATTGTAAGCTTATTAAATCATGTTAGTGATCTCTATTTTATTTCTATATTATTTAAATCTCAGGTAGGGACCAAATACTACTGTCATACTTGTTTTGTTGTAGACTAGACGATTTTTAACTTTCCAAGTATAATTCTTACATAGTTTTCTGGGAATTTATTAATCACAAAAATGAAGGAACTATATTAAAACTAATTCAGGCTGATTCTGAGAAGGAAACCAGTGGTAAAGCATCAGACTTTGATAGAACTGGTTTATATATTTCTCAAATCAATAGTGTTCACAAGCCTCATCCAGGTGGTATCATTTTGACAAGGTTAACTGTTCTTCATTATGATGCATTTTAATCAGGAAAGTGTTGTAATCCATTGTAAATAAGCGAAATTGATTTGATTGTACATAAAATGTTATCATCCTCATTTCGTTTTTTTTAAGTCAGTTGCAGATGTAAAGCATTTAGGCAAAACTGTAAACACATAGTGGTCGGTGAACTTTTATGTTCAAAAGAGAACACTTAAAATTTTGTGCACAAGATCGAAAATCAAAAAGGATCTTCGTTTTAGGCAAGATTACACATGTGAACCATCGATGGAAGAACTTGCCGCTATGGCATCACTAAATAACGGTGTATGCCATATTGAGAATGGTTTTACAATACGTAGACTTGCTTTTGGAAGTGTATTCTGGCCGGGATCATTCGACTTACATAATCTAGATTTGGATAAGGTACAGTGTTAATATTGTTTATAATATCAACAGTATTTGCTCAAAAATTCAAGACTGATCGAACTTTCTTACTTTTAAAACTGCACATTTTTAGATTGTGCACTTTCGTCAGCATGAAGTGATTGTATATCCAGATGATAAATGCAAACCCCCCGTTGGAGAGGAGTTAAATCGGTTTGCGGAAATCAGCTTAGACCGAGTGTGGCCTCGCGACAGAAAAACTAAAGAATTCATCACGGTCTGTTGAACGCCTTTATTCTGCTGTGTACAGAATATCACTTATCAAACTTGGTTGCTTTTAAAAGGATTTGTTCGATCAATTCATCAGTAAATTTATTTATTAGGATGTTTTTCGGTTGGAAGAAATCGGTTATCGAGCAAAATTGGAGCGCGCTTCCATTAAAATGGGAGCAGAATTCAAAGACTACCTTCCTGATACGGGCACTTGGGTGTTTACTGTACCACACTTTACTAAATATGGATTAGTAGTCAGTTTGCTTACTTGATAACAAAATCGTGTCATACAGCGCACTTTTGTTTTAAGAAGCTCACAGTTTCATTTAAAATATTTTTTTCATTTTTTTATTCCTATGTATTTTTAAAGTTGAATAAATTATCAAAAAGAGTTTTAAATTTATTTTTAAGGAAGACGACAGTGATTACATGATTGATGATATTCATTTGAAAGCTCTTAATGATAGCAAAATCCAGGATGCTGTTCAACGGGCCAAAGTGCCGGAACTAAAAATAGCTCTTGAAGGATGCATTAAAGATGCAGCGAAATCTCTTTCAGATAATTCTGAAGACAATAGCAGCAGAGTAGGTCTTGCAAAGAAGTGAATTAGCAACCTTTAGTTTACATTTTTCCACTTTTTATAACATATTTTCTTAATTCAGTGTTCTCCAGCTACTAATTTTTGATGCATTAAAAAAATTATTATATTAAAGTCAAGTAATGGGTTCGCGTTCTGCATTTCAATTCAGTTTACACTCAGTTGATGTTATAGTAGTTTTTACCGCTCATTCCAAGTCGCATTGATTGAAGTCGTGTATTTTGTTGCAGGATTTCTCTCAAAAAATAAAAGAAGTAAATGGTGATTCTGCCTTTTTCGTCCGTGGATTAGGTGGCACAAATGGTAGAGTTTAAAGTAATCCAAATTTTTTGCAGTAATTTTCCTTTTTTCAGTGACTTGAAAATTTTCTGTTTGAGGTTTCAATAAGCTATTTTCGGAGCAACAAACTGTAACTGATTCGACTACTACAGGTCATTTTTTCCGGTCAAGTATGTTTCCAGAAACTGATCATAGAATGGAGTTATGGGACAACAGCGTGGTATTTGGTTCGTTTTTTAAATGAACTTTAATTTGACGTGTTCATGTAGTCATTATGGTATTTATTATTATGTTAAATTTTACTCTTGAAAAGATTTAATCGAGAGTTTATTCATCATGAAGAAAATTAATTTTTCTCATGTTTAATGTTTGTAATGTTTGGAAAAATTATATGTTTAACTTTACAGAAGATTTGTTGAACGATTCTATCAAGATATGTTTGGAAGAAAAAAGTAGAATTAAGTCATTACAAGTAGGCTTTGACCATCCAGTCAATAATATAGGGAATTTTTTGAAAGAAGGTAAACAGACATTCACAGGAAAGGCGAAACGACTAGGTTCAGTAATTGATAACTCTAATATGAATGGAAGAAGTGGACGTGTTAGTTGGAATCACGGTTAGCTTATAACTTTTTTATAGCAGTAATAAATATTCTTTATTATCGGCTTTTAGTGTTGGTATATGACATTATTATGTCAAGTTCAAAAAAGTTAAAAAGTTAATCTTATAATGAGTATTTGCTGGACATTTTATTTTTGTTGTAAAAAAAAGAGTCGCTTCCTAAATTTTTATCTCTCTTTTTTAGTTTGATTGAAATCGTGAAAATTAATTAGTACTGTCTCCTGTTATCTTAGTGCTACGATTTAATTCTATCAATCTCTTTTCTATATCAACATCATATTCCAAGTGGAAATTTTAAAATTTATCTAATTTAGGATGGATCTACTGCGAAAACAGTCCTTCTCATCCTTTGTCTGTACGATGCTCCCAGCTGAGATGTGCTAATGAAGTGCCTGTTGTGAGTTTTTTGTTTTTTTTTGCAACAGGAGTATTGACTGTAATTGATTTTTTTTCAAAGAAAATCATTTTGGAAGTCTGTTCAGTTTTGATTGTTGCAGACCTACATTATGGATTTGTTTCAAAAAGTTAATACCTCATCCATGATAGCAAAAAATGGTGATATGAATCAGTCAGTTGTGCAGAATGCTTCCCAAAGCAAATCTGATGTGGTTGGTTGTGAAGCTTTTTTTAAACGTTTTGAATATAAGATGAACACTTTCATTTTTCTATCTTTATATCTTATATTTTAGTTAGTGGAAACATTTATTTCAAAGTATATGAAGTTTCTTATTCATTTTTTTTTGTTTATAACTTGTACTCTGTGTTGATTTCAGGAATTTCTCGATTTGATAAACAGCTTTTTGGTTGCATCAAAATCTAGTGGCATTGTGCACGATTTAGAAGTTTTCGAATTATGTGATGCACTTTTTAGTTCGCAGATTGCAGGTATTATTTCATCATTTTATTATATGAAAAATATTAAAATATCTCTGTATATTCAGGAAACTTCTGATGCAGTTAGAAATTTGTTATTCAATTGTGTGTAGTGATTTTATTTTACTACTTTATTTTTTGTTTTCCGTAACATTTTTTTTTTCAGCAAACACTACTTACACCAAAATGCTAAATCGTCGTGAAAACGTTGCGGAATGGTTACAAAAGTGTTTGATGAAGCGTGAACAATACATAAGTTTCCCGCAATCAGGTCCTACAAAAATTCTGCATTATATGTTGAATGGAGATCTGAAATCAGCAGTAGATGAAGCTATCAACAACAATTTTCCACATCTTGCATTCGCACTCTCAACATTTAAATACACAAAAAGAGCAGCGTACAAGAATCAGGTTTTTGTTCTTAGTTTCGTTAAAAAAACTCATTCTAATGTAATATTAAAACTTTTTATGTGATTCTTTGGTGAAGCAGTAGTACGATGAAAGTAACTTCGAGAATTTTGTGAACTTTTGTGTTTATAAAACTTTGGTGCAATATTTATTGATGCTGCATTTTGATGACTGTTTGAAACTGGCACAGCGATTGTAGTCGCTCTTTTTTTTATTTTTCACAATTTTTTGAGCCAGATTGCTCGTTGGAAAGAAACAAAAGAATATAAATTCATAAATGTCGATTTATTGAAAATATATCTTATAATGGCTGGAGAAATGCAAGTCAATTTTGGTGATCGGATTGTTTTTGTAAATGAGGGTCTTGATGGACTGCAGGTGAGGCACTATTTTGGTTTTCTGAATTTGCAATCATTTTACTTACCTTTTTCTTTCCTACATACTTATATAAGTTGTCATTCGATCAGTGCCTTTTTTATCATGTGAAGTGCAAAGGTAGCATACCTGTATTTAAGCGAGAAGTAGCTAATTTTTGAAATGAACGGCATTATTAAATGTGTAATATTTTCTCCTCTTTTGTTAGGTATTATTTTTTCGTTTTTAGGCATTAAATACATTTGTTTGGTATTATGATCCGTTCGATGCTTCATTAGTTGATGTCTTGCTTGCTTTCGAAAACGATTTGAAATCACGGAAAGTTGAAAATGAGTTGGAGCACAATATTTTTTATGAGCTTATTCAATTAGCCTGTGATATGGGACGATCATTAGATAGTATAATAGAACCTGACTATATGAATCTGGATTCATTCGATTACCATTTATGGTTCTCATTTTTTATTGTTTTAATCGTGAATTTTTTGTCGAAATTTAGAAGTTTTTAAGATTCAGTTTCATGTTTCTAATTTGGACTTGCTTCTAAAAATAATCATAGATTTTATTATTTTGAAAAAAGTATAAAATTCAAAGGAGTAAATTGGTATTTTCAAAACTTTTGTGAAGGATTTTTGTTCTTACTTTGGTTTAGCTGCGCTGTTTTAATTTGCTGCTGTTAGGAAGCAGAGTTTAATTGTGTGACTTTCTTTCATTAAATTTTATAGCTGGCATTTGTGGCTTATTTTGCGAATTTGGGGGTTTAAACATATATCAAAACACTCGGAACACAAGCTTCATATTCGATATTCTGAGCAACTTTGTCAGTTGGAATTGTATCATTTGGCTGCAATCGTTTTGATGCATCTCTCTGACTTGCATAAGTATATTTTCTTGAATAAAGAATGAGCAGTTCACAGGAAAACTTTCACTAATACGCGTTACACATTTTGATTTTGTCTACCTTTTCAGCTTTACAGGATTTGTAAAATTCTAAATTTTAGTCGGAATAATGCGTTAAATGGACTGTTTGATAGAATAGCTTATTATGCTGACAGAAAAACTTATACCGATCTATCAAAAATAGTTCATCTGCCAAATAAGTTGATCGCTCGATCGAGGTAAATTATTTGTTATATATTTGAATCGTTATCATTGTTGATTGTAGGAAGCTCTTGTTCTGTTTTATATGAGTAATATTCAGATATATGCGAGCAAAATTAGATGGCAACGAAGATAAAATTTGTTTCTATGCATTACAATCTGGCATGTTTGAAGAAGCACATTTAGTATTTTTCGAAAAAGTTGCACCTCACATGATTATATCAGGTATTTTTCGTTTAGTCATATTTATCAGAACATAATTTTCACTTTTTCATGATGTTTATAAATATCCATACTCAGATTTTGAAAATTATTAGAACTGGTTCGAGGATTTATCACGTTGTTTATAAACTGAGCTTTTTAAACCAAATATTAATGAGATGAATCAAGTTGTCTCACCTAAATTGGTTTTAGATGAATACGATTCTTTTGGAAAGCTCAGTAAATTATTTGAAGATGTTTGTGACCAAATTCCAGCATGGGGTCCATACGGCCAGGTTTTTATCGATTTTTATGGAATGAAAAAAAAGTTAGAGGAGGTTCAAGATGATAATGAGGTATGTAACTGTATATGCGGCCATAAACATTCAATTTTTTGTTTTTATATTCAAAATGCATTTAATTTAATGCTATTTTTTTACATGTATGGTATTTTTTGACACATTAAGGACCATGAACGTGATTTTTTCAGATGAAAGATTTAGTAGATTTGGCTCATTCACTTGAGTCGCGGCTTATTGCAATGCACGTAACTACTCCCATACAAAAGTTAGTGTTAGTGTTACTGTCATTAAGATATTGACTGTTCCTTATAAACTGACTCCCATTTAGCAAAAAAATTTTTTTGTGTCATAGTCTGCTGATCAAATTTATTTCAGATTGGCTGTAACATTGATATCCAGATACGTCTATAAAATAATATACGGATATGAAGGTACAGTAAATGCAAATTTGCCATTAAGTTATGAAGACACGTTAGAGGTTGCAAATGATTTGGCACTTCATTCATACTTCTCAGTGGATACTCCTACTTCTTGAACAAGTGTCAGAAATAATGTTGTATTTGCTTCATGTTATTCATTCTTACTGAGATATTATTTTAAAGTATTCTTTTAAAATATTTTCTACTTTCAAGATCAGAAATCATTTCTGCAGTTTACAAAGTGCAATCTGTATAGAGGTTTGGGTGACATTGCTTGCACAAAAAATCAGTTCTTATATATTTGCTTTCCATTTTGTTAAGTTTGTCAAAATTTTCTTTTTTGTATGATTTTCAGAAACTGAAAGTTTTGTTGTTTAATATTCTTCCTATTCAGTTATTCTGTTGTTCGTTTCTGTGGCATATAATTTGATGTCGTAGCGTTTTGTACTTTGTAAACCTATTGATCCGGATAATGTGAATCACGAATATTGCTGACAACGAGAATATGAAGTAATAAGAACATATGTTCTGATAAATTGTCTTCGCTTGCTTGCAGATCTTTGCACCCATTACCATATATATTTCGGAAACTTCATCCTTTGTACTAAGAAAAATGAGAAGCTGATTTTTCTGGATTACTTTTTCACTCTATGAATTCCTGAGCAAAGCATTCATTTTATTCTCCATTAGTTTTTTATATTGTACCTATTATTATTGATTCGAATGAATAAAAATACTACAGCTATTGTATTCAGTTACCAGAAATATTGAAGCATAAAATTTCACGTCATTAATAATAATGAAGCTAAAGAAGTATGTCATTCGTACATATTTTATCATTTATAAGATATGGTTTCGCAACCTTATCCATCTCTTGGTCATAGATGATTAAGCGGAACCATGAGAGATTTATTTCAATGGTGGTTCTATAATCGTATGTGGATCATTCTAATTGTTATGGAGAAGGTTATGTATTTACAGACTTGTAGATTATTTGCTTATTGGTACAAAGTATTCCTATCTAATAAAATTGTAGGACTTGTACAATATGGTGGGCAGAGGTATGGTCAAGAAACGACCAAAACAGAGTCATGACATGACTCTTAGAGAAACCTCACTGACGCCTATCTCATTACCCACAACTACTAGCACGTAAATTATGATTTCTATTTCTTTTCTTACATTTAACGCAGAAATTTTAGTCATTTATGAAGGGTCTTCATCTTGTCGTATCTCAATGTTTCTATTGTAGCGTGTGAACTTAGGTCACTTTCTTATTAGTAAAATTAATTGTCTAAGATTTGGAAATTTTTAGACTCCATTATGAAAAATCGGTAGAATTAAAAAAAAATCTTGTTACAGGAAGATTTAGCTTTCTATTTACTGATAGTAATTATTGTTTGGCTTGACCTCTCTATATATTGTCTTGTGACATTTATATCTATATCTGTATTTATGATAATGATAGTAGTATTGAGAACAGTGGCAATAACAGAGATGATTTCAATAATTATATAGTGACCATTTTATATTCTCCTTTATAAAATCGAAAATCTGACGATGCGGCTCAGATTTATGATTTCAGTTTGTTTATGAATATAATATTATCATTCTAGACCTTTACCTTCGACATTGATGGACACATCAACTTCTCCATTGTCATCAGTTCGGGATTTGGATGCTGACTTGAGCGAAATAGACATTTTAATTCAAAGATACCTAGCAAATACACAGTACAAAACAGCAGTATTTTGGGCAGACAAGCGATTGGCACTGTGTCGAAAAAGTGGATTTAAAGTATCATTCATTGATGTGGCTCATTTCATCAAGGTTTATAGATTTTATGTTTGGTAATCAATGTGCATTTACGAATTTAGCATAATGAGTTAGTGTCTAATTGAGCAATTTCTGCTTTTCGAACTTTAGGTTTTTTCTTGTTTTATCTGTATCGACAAATCATTTATATATTCAATATCGTATGGAGATTAATCTCTTTTTCTACTACATTGATTCTGGCGCTGGATCGTATTCCAGCTTTCTAGTTGTGCTTGTCCAGTGCTCAGATTTGTAGTACTGATCTCTGTTGCTTTGTCCGAATCTACGGCACTGATCGAATGAGATGATTTCGAGCGTCATCTTAAGCACTGTCGATTAGATATTGCTTAACATATACACCTCGACGTGATCAGATACACTGGAAGGTCGTCACTATCTTATCCCAAGTGATCACATTCAGAATTATTTTCGTCCTGCATTTCATCTCTGCCCGAGTTTATTAGCTAGTAAATCGTACTTTCGCTTCTTCTCGGTCTCGACTGCTATGTCTTGACCAGTGATGCTAACCTCTTTCAGCTTTAATATTACTTCACGTCGCTTCTTATCGTAATACCAGAATGTCCGGTCTATCTTTCCTTATTCTAATTGCAGTTCTTTTTTTTACTCGCGTGTCTAAGCGTTTTCTTATGGTCTAAGCGTTTTCTGATTTAAACGTTCTCGTTAGCGACGATTTCCTGAACGAAGTGGTTCCGCATTCGTGAGTATGCTTTTAGAGCATACTTTTTGACACTTTGCTGAGTCCTAAATGAATACATCACAGGACTTCGTAGTGTCTTTTAGTATAGTCATGATATAACATTTTCTTGCACTGCGTTGCTAGATGGTCCAGCGTCTTCACACATTTCCACGTTTCCACGTAGGCACATACTTTTTTCTGCTCCAAACATTTCTGTCTTGGAGGTTACAGTATCGCGCTTCATCGCTTTATCACAT